CTTAGTATTAAGCACTAATTTCTAAAATTTGGTTTAATGTTCATTTACTCTTCAGAGCAAGAAAATCTCTCTCACTATAAATTTAAATCGGAATCCGTTAACTTGAAGAATTCAAATGTCATGAATTAGGCACTACGCATTTCCACTTTCATGCGAACTTCAAGCATATAAGTTGGTCATTCTGCTGAGGTATTTTTCAATAAAAGACACCACAGCTTATTGACACGTCGGACTAACAACATTATGTTGAAATCATGCAAAAAACTATACTTTTCGTTTTTAATTCAGTAAGCTACCCAATTAGTCATGGAAAGAAGTCTTAAATTTGATGTCAGATGTTGGTGATCAATTCTGAAACAACATTTTTCGATGACTTTTTCTCTTTCTCTTTGGGCTCTAGCAGCCTAATCTTGCAAATAATCTTTATTAACATCTTCTTTTGAGAATAAAATTCACAAAAAAAGATGAAAGAAACAAATTTTAACTAAACCGCACATACAGACGTTGGGTATCTTGTTTGAGAAAAAATAATTTATTTAGTGATGATAGTATGCATATATTTAAGAACAACTTCTGAAGATAAAGGCTTTTTCTTATTCTTATTTATTCCCATACGTAACATGTGCAACTTGTTTCACTTGTTAATTATGGGTGTAAACTTATGTTTGAGATACGTGATTGTATATAAATTAGATTAATACATTTATACATAATTTATTTAGGGGCAAATTTAAACTAATATCTAAAAATATGGCAATCTATATCTAATTTTAAAATAAATTTATATCTAATATAGGACGAATTTATATCTAATTAAGAAAATAATATATCTAATTTTAAAATTTATTTATATCTAATTTATCAAGTAACACTACCTAACAACACAAAGTTATATCTAATTAATAATTAAAGTAATAGAAAAAAATAAAGATACGATTATCACTTATAACAAAAAAACACAGCAAAAAAAAGAAAACTATTGCACAATTAATGCTTTTTTAGCTTTAGCAACACGGCCTCTTTTTCTTTTTTTGTCCCAAAGGAATATTTTTAGCTTCCAATGGGATGCTGCATAATTTGTATCGTGCTGCTAAGCCTACAATGTGTTTACAAATATAATACTTTAAACAAGCTGGACAAGAACATGTACTTTTTGTCCAATTTTCACTTTCGTTTAAAAATTCACATTCCCAAAATGATAATTGTCCATCTTTCATAATATCAAAATCACACCAATTAACGTTTTGTTGATTATATAATAGCTTCTTCATAAATTCTTTATTAAAATCTTCATAATTATCTTGAAATGAAGATGATTCAATAGAATCTGTTTTATCATCATCTGATAATGATTCTGCCATTTTTTTAATGGCATATTTTTTAATATTTTTTAAACTAACTTTTTTCTTATCACTTATCGTCATTCCTAGCTCATATATACTCTTTCAATTAATTGATAAGTACTAATCAATTATAGATTACGTTCAAATTAATTAGATAATTCTATAAATAGATTGATAGTCATTTGTTAAAAGTGATAATATGTTAAATTAAGCGACAGAACATTTTTTAATTCAGACACTTAGTTGATTTAAAAGATGTTTAATTAAAAAATTAGATTAAACAATTTTTTTAAAAGTATTCTTTCACCGGAATAGATACTACTGTATTATGTTAGGAAATACTATATATAATTTAGATATAGATTGCCATATTTTTAGATATTATGTTAAATGCATGCCATTTATTTATTCAATTTGAGTTACGAAAAAAATACACAATCGCATAGAAAAATTTTCTTATAAATAAGTAGCAGTTGAAAGACATACTTCATTCTACATAAAATTTCAT